TCCACATCAAATAGTGAACACCTTGACTCTTGACTCTAAGCTAATCTTATGATTAGCTCTGGCATATAGAAACTGATGGAAGTGATAATAAAGCAATTCTGAGTGAAGAGTTAAGAAGCCTTATGTATATTCTTTTGTGCAATCTTCCACCAACATTTGATCAAACACAGAGTATGCTAACAGAGGATGAAAGGCTATAGTAAAGAGAGACCAGTTGTTCCAGCTGTAGCCATTCTAGGCCAGTTTCTAGCAGGATGACTTGCAAATATGAGAGAACCCAGCAAATAGAAGAGAAATCAGCAAACTAGCTGATTCGGAGCTGACCACCCATTCAAAAGAATCACCTAGTTGATCCATGGATTAATTAACATTAATAAATGCTTATTGTCTTATACCACTGAATTTGGGGATGCTTTGCTATTTAGCAATAGCCTAATGATATATTTAATGCTTCTGTAATCAAACTATGTAAAAAATAGAAAAAAGAGAATAAATTAGAAGAAAAAGAAAATGAAAGAAATAAAAAGTCACATTCTTTCCATTATATTTTATAGTTCCATAATTTGGCATTAAGCCAACCTATATGATTTTTTTTTTCACTATTTCAGAATTTTTAGTAAAATTATTTTATTAAAATTTTAAAAATAAGGCTACTATTTCTTAAATATTAAGTCAACTTGTTTTTAAATTTCCATTTGAACATGATAACTACAATATTTTTATCAATTTTACTCTTTTATATTTTAGTCTCAAACTTTTGGTAGTGGGGAACAGATCAGTTCCTGATCCTAAGAATTTTGCAGTGTGGGTGGATTTTATGGCTATGTTACAAAGAATTATTAATTTCTTTCTCTTGACTTATTTACAACATGGAAGTTTGGACAAGATTATAATCTTAGTAGAAACATAAAATAAAAATAAGAATGCTTTGCTGGTCGGAAGATTAAATGTTCAGCTAGATAGCTGAAGCAAATGCTCTTCTGAGAGTTCTTTCAACTATAAAATATATGTTCCAATGATTTTAATTTATTAAATACTATATCCAAAGCACTTTTCCTGAAAAATGACATTTAACTAACACAATGTTTTGAGGAATGTATTCCTATTTTACATATGAGAAATCCAAAGCTCTCACAGAAATAAGTAAAATTGTTCAAGGGCACGATGCTGACAAGTGATAGAACCAGGGTCCAAGATCTGTATTATATGATTCTAAGCTGGAGAAACTACATTATAAACCATATCCTGTGTTACTTAGGTGTTACTGACAAGATGGAGGCCTACGTTCATTCTTCAGCCAACATCAAAGCTAAGAGTAGGCCCATATTTAATTTTATGACTAGGATCAAGGCTCAAATTAGATAAACATTAACCTGCAATTGGCTTTGAGATTCAATCTATCTAAGGAAAGAAGCAATCACTTCAGAATTACAGGACAGTCCAATAAATAATTCAAAATATTTTACAACTCACAAATAAGTATGTTCTGAAAAGCTGATATGGTATTGTTGTTATTGTATTTATACCATTACTTTATTTGTTTAGCCCACATATTTTCATCACTAATCTAAAGCTCAAATTAGGTTTTTATGCATTCTGAATTATTAGAATCTACATTCATGGATTATAGTAGTTTTGGAAACCAAAGAATTGAAATAGATCCATTTTAAAGGAAAAAGTAGGAGTATCCTTGTGGACTGCAAACAGCAGATAAAATATTTTTTTATGAAAGGCTGCTTTTTCTAGTGAATTTAAGAGAATACTAAAATCTCCTTTTTGTTTAAAGATAATCACATTTTACTCAGTCTCATTCTCTAAGGCTTTACCTTGGGTATGAATTTTTCATGACTGATTGATTGAAAAGACAATGACAACAGAGAATAATACAAGCTTAGGGACCTATCTTACAAGGTAGAGTTAAATTACTCTAAAGGTTAGAATGACAAAGCCAGGTGGAGCCTTGAAGTCACCAAGTAAATTGACAATTACAAACCTGTTGAAAGATGAGAAAAATCAATTAGGAAAAGGTTCATTCATATTGAAAAGTAGTGTTACCTTTATCAAACACAATTTAGTAGATTCTGGAAACAAAAAGAGAATCCACTAAAAGAAAATGCCTGTCTTTGGGTGGGGCTTCAAAGGGAGTTAGAGTGGGAAGAAAGTTGGACTGGGAAAGAGATTTGTCTTCTCTTCCTGAGACAGTAAGAGCTTAATAGAATGGGTCCTGCTAGAGAGACCAGAGGACTAAGAGCCAGAGAGGTGAGCAGACAAAAGGACTGTGAAAGAAGCAAAAGATAGAATTCTAGAAAAATCACCACCAAATGCCAAGTTCAAAGGGCAGCGGTAGACATCAAGGTCCAGAGTAATCAATTGAAGAGTTTGGACAAAGTAACATAATTGATTCAGGTCAAGAGTAAAAAGAAGACTCCAGAGTCTATAGATATCTGACAGATTAATTCTTTTATTCTTTTAAGATATATTTATTGAACACTGCCTATGTGACAAACTGTTTTTATATGCCAGAAATACACAGAGAAACAAGGTATATAGTTCCGGCCTTCATATAATTTACATTTTAATGGGGAAGATAAAAAATTAGTAAATAAACAGATATATGATTCAATGTCAGATAAAGAAATATATTATAGAGAAAAGAAAATAATAAAGTATAAGAGGTAGAATGAGAAATGGAGTGAACTTGCGGAGATGCTGAGAGGTACTGGGAGGGAGAAGTAGGTTATGGTTTGTTTGGTTTTAAGTTATTGGTATTTTATATGTAATGTGTTAATATCTACAAAATTCCTGGGAAATGAGTAGACACTTTTATATTGTAGGTCATTTCTAAACCTGAAAAACATTCTCATTGGTAAACATTATTTTTCATGCTATGGATTAGGAAATTAATATACAGAAAACTAAAAATTCAACTACACTTTCTGTTTTTGTTGACCTCTGAGATGGGATGGACTTTCTCTTAAAAAAAAATTGGTTCCAATGTAGAGAATAACAATGCCACATTATTCATGAAGAGAGCATGGAAAATTTATTACTAACATAGTGACGTTTTCTAGCAACTTTAGAACAGTTTCCCAAATTGAAATGGCTTGAAAGAATAAGGGAGTTTTATAGCTGTTAGGGGACGAGGTCGCTGAGGATTCTCATGAGCATACAGCAGGTCTTGTAGGTCTGAACCTCTTGCCAGGCTAAAGGAGGAAGAAGGGTGTTTTCTTAGAGTCTTGTCCTGATAGTGGGAAGAAGGGGAGGTGGGTGGGGCATGAAAGGCATTGGTAGTCACATTTCAAAACTGGAGCCACACAGTTCACCACATTTTCTAAAGATGATGCAGGTAATATGTAGCAATAAGATGCTGTGATTATAATTCACATATATTTGGTTATTATCCCGTTTCTTGACACACCTCTCCTTAAATACTTTGGAATCTCGAAAGGGATAAATGTCTTCTTGAATGCTTATGAGATGACTAATGGCTGGGGGCTTCAGGATGGTCTCCAGATATGGGACTGGTTGCCTGGCGAACCAAGCAAATGATTAGAGGTAGAGGGCTGGAGCTTTCAGTTCATCCCCAATACCTCCACAGAGAGAAGAGGAGCTAAAGGTTGAGTTGATAATCAATGGTCAATAATTTAATCAATCATGCATACCTAATGAACCCTTCAAAAATGTCTAAAAGGACAGAGTTCAGATATTTTCTGAATTGCTAAACTTGCGGAGGTGCTGGGAGGATGGCCATCCTAGAGAGGGCATGGAAGCTCCATGCTCTTTCCTCCTATCTTGCCCTATGTATCTCTTCACTTGAAGATGAGGTTAAATACAGTCATAACAACAGGAATATGTTTTGTGAAATACATCACTAGGAGATTTTATTGTTGTGTGAGCATCATAGGTTTTATAATCGTACATGGTACAGGTATATACACACTTAGGCTATATAAAGAGCCTACTTTTAGATTTTTAAATTTTTTTAACTTTTAAAAATTTCTGTTAAAAACTAAGAAACAAGCCCATATAGTAAGTTAGGTCTACATTGGGTCAAGATCATCAATATCACTGTCTTTCACCTTCACATCTTATCTACCTGGAAGATCTTTAGGAGCAGTAACAGGCATGGAGCTTTCCTCTCCCATAATAATAATGCCGTCTTCTGCAATATTTCCTGAAGGACTTGCCTAAGGCTGTTTGTTGTTTTGCAGTTAACAGTTTTTGTTTTGTTTTTAAGCAAGTTTTAAGAAGGGGTACCTTAAATAAAGATAAAAGTGTAGTAGAAAGAGTACAGAAGTTAGTAGCATAATTATTTATTATCCTTATCAAGTATTATGCCTATACACAATTACATGTGCTACTGTTTTATGTGCCTTACAGTGCAGTTGATTTGTTTATACCAACATCACCCCAAATAAGTGAGTAATGCAATATGCTACAGTATCACAACAGCTACCATGTCACTAGGTTATAAAAATTTTCAGCTCTGTCAAAATCTTATAGGACCACAGTCACATTGCAATCCATTATTGAACCCAGATGTTATTATGTAGTACATTAATGTAAAGTGTGTCCCTGATTTCTGTGAGCTGCTGTAGAAAATTAACCCAAGGAAGGTGTAGTAGAAACACCTAATTTATAAGCAGTTGTTCAGAAGTATAAGTGAAGTATGTGACTGGCATCTGAAGTAGGGAGTCTTATGGAATTCTACACTCAGCCTGTGGAATCCGGAGCTGTCTAAAGGTAGATAATGTCACAATTGAATTAAATTGCAGGACAGCCAACTGGTGTCCACTGAAGAACTGTTTGTTATGTAGGGGAAATTCCCCCAACATATTTTGGTGAAAGGAGATGAAGTAAGTGTTCTAAGTGTTGTATTGAAAGTTAGAGGGAAAAAAACACTTTTTTTTTTCTCTAACAAGAACTAATGAAAGTCAGATCTGGTTTTATGTGTCTCTAAGTCTATGTTTTATGCAAACAGAGAAATTCTGTCATTTCCCTTCAATATGCTTGAGAAGACTTGACACAAAAATAGCAGTGTTACGGTACGACGCAAAGGACACTAGAGAGAAGGTAAGATAATGAGAGTCTAGACTGATCTTATTATCTAAAGACAAGAGGATCACAATCAAAGCCAGCCTGGGCAACTTAGTAAGATCCTATCTCACAATAAAATTTTAAAAGGGCTTGAAGATGTAACTCAGTGGCAGAGCACTTGCCTATTAGACAGGAGGTCATGGTTCTAAACCCCAGTTCTACAAAACAAACAAAAAAACCACATAACTTTAAATGTTCTTAAAATGTGAGAGAACTAACAAAATATTAAGGAAGTATCAGATCAAAATTCATGTGAATGCTAGATGTAGCAAGGAGCATTTGCTGAATCTGGTTAACCAGTGCTTGGTAAAATAATGATTAGTTTTTAGGGATGCCAATGCAATTGAAATTAAAGAAACAGTAGATAATTGAGACCAAAATTCTGTGTGTATTTTTCCTTCAAATCATTTGCAAAATTCTAAGCTTTTTGTGTAGGGGGGATACTAATAAGGCAAGTAGAAAGCAGCATCTATGAGATTAAAGTGCTAAGTGGTGATTTAAATAGTCTCATGTATTGTAGAAAAAGTTTGGAGTTCAGGACTCACCAAGTTAGAAAACTGAGGTAAATATACCATACTATTTGTAATGTCAGGGGTAAGTGCTGAAATGAGGGCTATACACTTGTGATAAGTAGGCAACTATATACCCCATGTTCTTTGTACAAAAATTCATGACTACATAAAGATGACCTTTTCAAACACTGTCTGCCTATCAGAAAAAAACAACTAGATCTTTTGAAGAAAACAACATCATAAAAACTTCTGTATTTTCAAACACAGTATTCTGCTTCAACTAAATTTATCAGAAATAAAAATAAATTTCTATGAGAGAATGAGAAAGAGAGACAGAGACAGGGAAAGAGACAGTGACAGACACAGATACAGAGACAGAGACAGAAAAAGGAAAAGAAGGGGGCATGAACCTGAGACAAAGATAATGAGGCAGACAAAGGCACTGTGGGAGAAGTCCTGGGCTTAGGCTCACAACAGATAGGATGCCTTCTGGTTCTTCAAGACCACAAGGGGACCCTATTCTCATCATATTTCCTTAAGGTCTTGATATATGATCCTATCCTCACCATTTTTCCTTAACATCCAGACACAAACCAAAAACAAACAAACAAAAAACCCCATGCTCCTGCCCTTATTATACTTCCTTGACCTCTGGCTTAAGCCCGGGGAGCATACGCCCTAACTGCTTTAGGGTAAACCCATGGTCTGTATATCATTAGCACTGGGGTTTTGACACCCATATATGTGGGTTTTGGCAGCCATGCTGGTTTCCTACAGGCTCACATAAAATAAAAATTTCTCAGTCCTAAAATGAGGGTGGAAATTTAATTGTCAGTTTCCTTAGTTACCAAATCCCTGACCACTCTCCAAATTCTAAGAAAACAAAAGAAAAACTAATCCTAAAACCCTCTGCAGGTGCTACCTCTGGTTCTGCCTGCCCTCCAGTCTTGAGTGTGTACTTTTATTACTGGCAGTTGTCACTTCTGAGGTTTGCCTGCTTAGAATTTTTCCAAGTATACTTAAACTTCAATCTAAAACAGATGGGGCCACTCTGAGTCAAACATGCTCTTGAGTTTTCTCATTGGCTGGTTGCTACTCTATAAAATATGCTTTCCTTTAATAAATCTCTTTCTTACTATTTCTGTGTGTTCTGCTCAATTCTTTGTTCAGGATACAAGAGCCTGGATATTGGGTGAGACAGAAACCACCTGTCCAGGAACAGTCATTCAAATATTTCAGGTATCAACAGTGACTTTAAAATAACTATAACTGGTATTTTTAAGAAAACAGAAGACAAAAAAATCTACAGGAGAACTAGAATATACATAAAGAAGCAAATGTAAATTTCAAACATAAAAAAGATCAAAATAGCTAAACTTAAGAATTTTAGAGGTGGGTTTTAATAACACCTAGACCCCAAAGAAAAAGGAACAGTGAAGGGAAAATTAGACAGTAGAAAACATTCACATCAAAATATTGAAAGAAGAAAGAGTGGAAAATACAAAGAGTATGAGTTATAACAGGGTATGATAAAAAATATAAATATATTTCATCAATATCCTGGGAGATGAGGGGAAATGGAACATGAGCAATACTTGAAGAAATATTGATCAAGAATTTTCAAAAACTGACACAAGTCATCAAGCCACAGGTTCAAGAATTTTTATGCATCCTACTAGGGTAAGTCCCAGAAAAGCCAAACCTAGATAGGCACTTCACAGTAATACTACTCAAACAAGAGGGAAAAAATTATCTTAGTTAAAGGAAATTGTATATACACCTTCAAAGGGCCAACAATAACAGTCAGACTTAACCACTAAACAAAAACAGAAGTTAAAGTCAATGGAAGAAGAATTTCAAGTTTTGAAATAAAAAAAATAAAGTGTCTACTTAAACTTCATATTCAAAGTTAACTTTCTTTTTTTGGTATCAGGGATCAAACTCAGGTCCTTGTGCTTACGCAGCAGGCAGCGAAACCACTGAGCTAAATCCCTGGCCCTCAAAGTTAACTTTCAAAAATTAAGATGAACACATTTTCGGGAAGAAAAAAGTATTCATTGGGGAAGTCCTATACTATAAAAAATAATTCAGTGAGTTCATTATACAAAAGAAAAATGATTCGATAAAGAAACATCTTGATGTGGGAAGAAAAAAAGATGCCATAAAGGACAAATATGTAAATAACTCTACATATTAAAGGGTGCACACACATTTGTCTGATAGCTGTGATGTCAGTAGGTGAGAGGAAATTTTCATCTCCATTATAATTTTATGAGACTATCAACATATATGGAGTCCATCATTAACCAAATGTCATTATGTGCTGTATGACTGTAAACAAAAAGATTGATAATAAAAATAAGAAAAACTAAACCTAGATAGTTAATGCAATATGTTAATATCAGATAAACTAGACTTTAAAATAAGAAATACAACTTCAGATAGAAACACAAACAATTAAAAGATCAAGGAGAATATATGATAATCTTAAAGTTATATAATATGTACCTAAAATACATATAAAATTATAAAATTAAAAGGACAATTAAATCCACAATCATAGTTGGAAAATTTAACTGACCTATTAGTAACTAATGGGATTAGCAAACTATCAATAGATATAAAAAATCTGAACCATATTAACCTAATTTAAACAATCTAACCTAATTGAAGAAAGCATATGATAAAATAATTGCAAAATGCATTCTCTATTCTAGAGTACATTGAACTTTTATCAATACAGAAAATATATTACACCATTAGCAAACTTCATAGAACTGAAATCATGGAGTATGTTCTCTGCTCACAATTGAATTAAGCTAAAAGTCAATGAAAAGATTAACAAATCCCCAAATGTTTGCAAGGTAACCAATATATTTCTATATAACTCATGAATCAAAGAAGAAATCACAATGGAGAGGAGAAAACAATTTTAAATTCAAGTACTTTCATATACTGCTGGTGGCATAGTTACTCTAGAAAAAGTTTGGTGGTATCTAATAAAATTGAAGACAAAAATATCCTATGACTTAAAATTTGACTTTTAGCTCTTTACCCAGCATAACTGCATAGGCACCATATTTATAACTGCAAAAGCTAGAAAAAAATACAAATCTTCATTAAAATGAATTTTTGGCATATACATGTGTTGGTCTACTGAACAGTAATGACAATAACTGAATTATATAGAAAAATATGCATGAATTTTGTAAGCATAATGTTGAACATAAGAAACCAGATAAATCAGACATGAAAGAAGACTTAATATGTGCTTCTATTTATATAGTTTAAATGCCAGCAAGATGATACAGAGTTTTAAAGTGGCATGAAAAAGGGTAAATGGATGCACCTTGAGATCATACCTTTAAGTGAAAGAAATCAGACATGCGTTTAAATATAGCATTGTTTCTCTGGTGTGAGAAACCAAAGGGTAAATAAGGATCAAAATGTGCAATAGATATTGGGAAATAGGAAGAACCGAGGAGAACAAGGAAGTGGGGAGGAGGAAAAGAAGGAAGGAACAAGATAAAAATAGGGAATACAAAGGAAAAATGGAAACAATGCTTTTGTAAGTAAGAGGGGAAGAGAAGTTGAAGAGAGACGAGGGGATTGAGGAAAAAAGAGCAATCAAGATATGTATAGGTATAAATTCCCTATGATAAATGTGATAATTAGATATATCTAAAACATACCAATAAAATTAATTACCAATAAATGTACTAATATACCAATAAAATTAATTAATAAAAATGTATCAATAAAATGTACCAATAAAATTAATTTAAAAAATAAAATCATATGAAAAAGATACTGATTTAAAGGTAGGAGATATATAGAGTTTCTGAGGTATGGCCCTTTAGTGGCTAAATACGTGTGTTCTATGATTAACTAAACTGTAGTCTTGTATTTTCTACATATTTGTATGTATAAATAATAAAATATTAAATGAGTAGGTAAAACTATCTTTACTGAAATAATACAAATACAACATTTTAAACTTGTTGGATGTGGTTAAAAGATGGATCGCTTAAAGGGAAATTCATAGCCTTAAATACATATAAGTGAAGAGAAGAATGTTTAAAATCCATAATCTAACTTTTTTTCATGAAGTTAAATAAGAATAAGGATAGCTCAACTAATTAGAAGCAAAGTCATAGTACACATAAGAATAAAACTCAGGGAAAGAGAAAATAAGCAAAATAGAAAAAAATCAATAATACCAAAGCACTTCTTTCAAAAATTTTAATGAAATTAATAAAATCTTTTAAGTCAGTTTAATAAAAAGGAAGAAAATATGTGAATTATAAGGTGCAGTCAAAACATACCACATGTTTACATTTTTAAAATGTTATAATAATAAAAGATATATTGCCATTAATCCCCCTTAAAATACTCCCTTTTGCTTGGAACTCACTTATCTCATCATTCTTGACACTTTATGAAGCAGTTATTAAACTTTTGTGT